ATAGAATCCATATGTAGGAGAAGAGAGCCTAGAACAAAGAGAAAATGGGACCAGATCCTTTAATATTAACTCTTTTGTCCAGAGAGAATTCTGGCCTAAAGCTGATGCCTTTCTGTCTCCATGCCCACATGTCCGCACACACCACGTGGTCCCCTAGAGGCACCAAGCCACTCTGAATGTGGGGAATTCCACAACAGGAAAACACAAGACGACTTGGAAGTGGCAGCGCTAGTTGAGTCTCTTGAATAAACACAGGACGAAAACTAGAAAACTGGTCGCCAGCATCCCTGGGTCACTTGGTTCTCTTCTGGACATGGGCAGCCACTCACGCGTTTCCAGACACACTACGTGCACCCTCTCCAAAGCGAGATCTGCCCCAGACAGCGCGCAGATCTCGGCGCTCGAAGTCTATGCCCAGCTTCCCCTTTGCCCTTTAGATGAAAGCCGCTGGGAGTTTTACAAGATTTGCAAAAAATGAAGCAAGTCACCCATCTGCACGCAGCTGCCCACTCTCTCCAGCAGGAAAGGACTCCACAGCCCAGCACACAGTGCAGACTCCCAATCCCTCCTCCACAGTCTCTGGCCTCACAAAGAAACTCTCTCCTTTCAGATTAGGAAGAAAAGGACAGTGAGATAGGTCAGCAGGCCGGCTTACCCTGCCCGGAGTGCGTGCCTCAAACGTCCTCGGTCAGAATTGCCTCTCTTTCCAGACAGATTCCTGCTTACTGGCTCAGGCTGGGCAAATTCCTTCCAAGACGCCTAACTGACTGAAGACTGTGATGTCACAGTTGGCCCTCCCTCTGCTCCCTAAAAGGCCATTCACACAAAGAGGGACTTTAACCCCCTTCAAAGAAGCCAGGCCACTCCCTAGCTGTCCCGAGCCTGGAGGGCAGTGGGAGTCCCGGCCAGAGGCAGATATCAACTGCTCCAGGGGAGGCCCTGGGGCTGAATGGGGAAGGCAGCAGTGATGGTGTTAAGTCGTTCTGCCACTTTCTTGGAAATTCAGAGATGGGTGTTGGGATGGGCAGGAAATTGACACCCCAGTGAGACAGCAAAAAAAAAAAAAAAAAAAAAACCCTGAAAAACTTGAAGAAATCCTTTCAGGACAGTTTATCTATGTGTAGATGTGGGAGTATAAAATAAGTGCCTAAGGCACTTGACTGCTAACCAGAAGGCTGGCAG